CAAACCCAACATCCCTGTCACTTTCATCATAAGAAATAAGGATCAAGCCTCAAACTTCTCATTTAGAAAGAAAATGCTTTCTTCACATATTTTCACCACACTCCTCCTTTATAAAAGCCCAAGTGCTCCATCTGGTTTTGATGAAGCCAGATGAGGGAGCAGAGTAATAAGCATGTTGAGACCTTAATGATATGCCTCCTTTTTGGAGGAAAGATCTCATGACTAAGATGTTCCACACTTTCTGGATCCCATCTGGGTTTCCTGCTCGTGTGTCCCGTGAGGTTTAGAAATCCAGCTCAAGCTCCGAGGGTGTCGGTCAATGTTCCACTGCCACCGGACGTCACAGAGTTCTCAGTTACTTTCTCCTGTTGCCTCAGCATCTCAGATAGCCTTGAAAACCCTAAAATGTCCTGTTTGATTCTATTTAGTTCTGCAGTAAGAAATGACCCTCTAACTTATCTTTCACTGTTTGAAAATTACCTGTATCATTTCAGTCAGTACTACAACATTACAATTGCTTTTCCTTTTTTAATCAACTAACCACACACCACTCCCTAATTCCTTTGCTTGCCTAGACATTATAGAACTAGAAAGGTGTGTCTCAAATGTGCTAACGTGGCTTAAATGAGTCAACACACACACACACACACACACACACACACACACAGACTTACACTGACACATTAAGTACTTTCATGTTCATACAGGTCATTTTCAAAACTGTAGAAGAAAAAGTGGTTTTAAAAGCCTGATAAAGTGATGTCAGTCAGGGTGGGGCACATGGCATCTATATTCACCTCGGGGCTCGAGGGGCAGGATTTAGCAAAGGCAGAACACAACCTGCCCTGCAGCTTGTCTGTCAGGACATAGAGTATACTATGTAGATAGATGTCCTTTTATTTAAAAAAAAAAAAAAAATCCCTCTTACAAAGGAAGAGTTGCATTTATAAGCAATGAAGTTCACCTTTCTGTAATTTAATACACTCATGAATATTGCAGCTATGGTCATATGTGTCATTTCCACTTGAGCACTTGATGTTGAGCAAAACATACGAAGGATTGCTTAAGCAGAAATGTAGCTGATGAAACTGCTAAAAAAGAAATTCTGTATACCATTTAGATTTGATTTCATTGCTAAAGTGCATTTCTGTGTGTTGTCTTTGAATTTTCCAGAGAACCAAAAGTAATAGTCCTCAAAACTGCTCAAATAATACCTAATAATAAATCACTGTCTGTGCCTTCGTGGCAAAGTGCTGTGGTTTACAAGTGATGCTATGGTCTTCTTTAATTTTTTTATCAAATATCAAAAAGCAGGAAATGTGTTGTAATGATAGTGAATGTGGCTGAAAAACAATTCTGGTCACATCAAGTCAAATATCATCATGAGTCTGAGAGACGAGGCCTAACAAGAACTATGCAGTTTGTTATCAGACATGAGAAACTGACTAACACTGACAAGACAGAAGCATTGATAAGAAAAGAAATACACACAGTTTCACCACAGGATTATACAATCTAAATGATTTATTGCAGTGGCCAATCTTTACATGCACAAACGCAGTCAAACATTTGATAACAAGCAGTTGTATTTCTCAGTAAATCAGTGAAGGACTTGGTGAGGCCATGCATTGCTGTCGGGTATCTAAAGCCGCCCTTCCCACAACTATTCCATCCCCATCCTTCCACTTTTCCTTGTTGGTTAGTGATTCTTAATGAGATATGTCTGAGGAATGCTGGGAACAAATAATGATTTACCAAGAGGTGTATGTGCGTGTGACTCAAAAAACCTTGTTAGACTTGTTGGATATCTGTTACTTCTGTGTGTGCATTGTAAATTATCCATTTGAATCCTATTTGTTCTACATAACGAATAATAAGTTATCAGCACCAACTTTTATGATTTTTTTATTATCCCTAGTGACTCAGCTCATGTCTGTATATTCTTGCGCAAATGAGGCAATTAAGTGATAGTCCCTGCAAGTTACCACACCTCATCCATCCCCGCCTTTCCCTCCTCTACCTCGCCTTAGATTGCTAGAGGAAGGGGTGTGTTTAGAGCCCTACCCACCATGTCCTCTGCACACTCACACCACTAAATACACACTCGCACATCACACACACAAGGACAGGCCCAGACTTCGTATCCCACAGGCACTATTTGCTATGAAAGGAATAGAGTAAGCCGGAGAGAAAAAGAGGAAAGAAAAAAAAAAAAAACATAAGGAGGAAAAAGAAGGGCAGATCCGGAACCAATGAGGGAGTGAGGAGGTTGAGAGGAGAGAAGGAGGGAGAAATCATAGGTTTGTGACGTGCTGCGTTGAAGCCACAGGACTGCACACTCTGGGACAAGCTGAGGGCCAGTGGGACAGATATAGACGCGAGAAAAGCTGAAGTACCTATCAAGGGGGAAAACCGCCAAGGATATTTTATCATCAGGATTATTATTGTGTGTGCTGACTATCAGTGACAATGACCTCTCAGCAGCAGAGGTACAGGAATTTCTCCACTGACAGCGGGGGCAAAGAGAGGATGCACTCTGACGATGGTTATTACCAAGGGATGCTGAAGGCTACAGACGGCAGGAAAGGTACCAGTATGGTGGCAGTTAATGGAAAACAGCTTAATTGCAAACCTTAATCTGGATTTATGTGTTTCCATGTGTTTGAGAAGCTGCCGGGCAGGAATTAAATGTTCCAGGAAGCATTTAATGTAATTTCAGCATTGTACAGTGTTCAGGTTGCAGGCTTTTGTTTGCAAGGGCCTGACAAAGTTGATGTTAAGGCTTTTTTTGGTTAGCTTGTTGAATAAGGTTTGGTTTTTCTACATCAGTAGGCTCAGCTGTCAATGGCGGTTCTTTTGTTACGGGCAAATTTGACTGATGTTACATGATCTGGAGCTGTCTGACATCTTAAAAATGACGGATGTGGTTGTCCTGATTGGAGTGAATTCCCCACCCAGCCACTTAAAGCAGGATACTACTCTTTTATCTAATGCATCAGCTGCTTCCTCTCAGTAAATTGGGCAGCAAAGCACATGCACCATTTTTTGTTACGTGACATAAATGTGTTTAGAGTTGCACCTTGGATGTGTTAGATTTTTTTCCTTATTTTTCTAAATTTGATCATCATTCTCTGTTTTTCCCCTTTAACTTTTCAAACTGATGACATTTTACAGTTCTTCCGAGTATTTCAATCTTTTATTAGGATAGATTAGAAATTATATTACGAAGAAATATTCTATTCATTAAAAAAATTAAATGTACCCCATGTAAAGTTGTGCAGAAAAATTTATCAAAGTTGATATTGATCACATGATTGGCTTATAATTGCTGTTGGAATTTTTTTTTGCATTAAAATAGCATATCTTGCATGAATAATCTAGTCAGTTTAATTATATCTACAACAGCGCTTCATATTTTATACATTATTTGTTTTGCCTGCAAAATTGTAAGCGTTGAATTAACTAGAAACAATGGTTGCATAGTCAAAGAAAATCCAATAAGTCAGTACAAACATTCCCGCTGGAGTGTAGTGAAGTATAACTTTCAAACTCATGTACTGTACTTAAGTAAATGCACAAGTTACAGTACTTTGTGTGCTATTGACTTCCGTGCTGTTTTGGACCATAAACACCACACCTCACTGAAAGCTCTTTGTGTCTGGATGACATCTGATACTTGGAAGTTCATGCAGCCCCTATCCACCCGCACTCCATTCACGTGTGAAGAGCACTGGGTCCACAAAGAGTTGCGTTACTTCAAACATTACTGAGTAATACGCTGTGAATGCAGAGACTCACAGTTCAGGGTGCAGTTCCCATGGGAAACTGCTTTAGTCCACTACAGAGATGGTGAAACATCCCAGCATTATTTCCCTGCTGCCCTCGGTGTGACTGTGTGTGTGTGTGTGTGTGTGTGTCACCTCTCTGTCCACACTGTGGGACATTTTGCCCCCTCGACAGGAAATGGAGCCACACAGAGATTGCGTCATGAGGCGCAGCCCCTATTGTTTTAGATGATAAATAAGGTTAAAGTCTAATGGTCTCTATATGAGGTTTCCATGGAAACAAACTTCCGTTACACATTTGAAGAAGTCGTTGCTGACACCCTCCTAAGAAAACAAACGTAGCCTCTGGGCATGGATTTAATGTTGAAGTTGAATTCGAGAGCGTTTCAGTGCTGGGCGTGTTATTATACAGTAGGTAGTTGGATCACTACCCTTAAACTGATAAGATAGAGGGCTTTGTTGTTTTGAGGTCACTCCAGTGCAATGTGAATGCTGTGTGAGTCAGTGAAGGTGAGTTCCATATTAAAGAAAAAACTTGAATTACAACATACGCATCAAACCACAGCCTTCAGATCAGTTCCCATCAGGGAGCTGGAAACACTTTGATGTCTCCACAAATGTTGCAGTGACACACCTCATGGTTTTTTGCCTTGAACTCCAATAGGGACACATCACAGCAGGTATGCGGGTTTGTTGTTTTAGTAGGTGCGTCCCTCGTCAGGATCTAGTTGTTTCTTGTTGGAAAATTGCACTCTCTAATAGTTATGCCTCGTCTTGCAGACGTTCACACAGAGTGTTTTCACACTACATGTTGCCTTTGGCGTGGGATCCTTTACTTTTCTGTCCAAGAGCACATGGTGGCAGCTGTGTTAGAGTGAGACACCACCTTGCAAATGTTGCATTCGGGGTGCATCTGCCGTCAGTGAGCAGGATTTGATGCCGTCTGACTCAGATGCAGGCGCGCACAAGTCGAGAGGTGTTTTTCCACCCGATCAAACACGTCTGGTATCTTGGGGTTTTCCTTGTTTGCTGCTTTTATATAAAGTAAATGAAACCTGAAACGGAAACTTGATGTAAAAGAATGCATAAATCATATGCTGTTATTTTAAAAGTCACACATTTTATTCTTTATAGGAGAAAATTCATTTCTAACAGGGTTAGGTTTGGGGGTTCTCTTCATACACCTCTCACGTCTGTGGTTTCTCTGTCTTGCAGATGAACGAGATCGAGTACAGAAAAAGACCTTCACAAAATGGGTGAACAAGCACTTGATAAAGGTAAGAACCCTTCTCTTAACTTTCACTCCGTCTTGTCTGAATCGGCAGACATATTGATGCACTCATTCCTGCCCACACATGCCCTCACTATCGTGTTCCAGAAGATCTGTCTAACGAACAAAGCACACTTGTGCAGAGTCAATTGGAGCTTGAACAATGAATTTGGACAAATGTAGCATTCTTCCAACATAACGAACATGTGGTTAACTGCCCTCAACCAACAAGCACGGGGGATATCAAAAAGTAAACTTTCCAGCTTGTGGTCCAGACCCTAATAATAAGTCTTCAACCACAGAATGTTATGCTGAGCATTTAATAAATCTGGTAAGATTTTGAGAGATGATTGATCTCTAAATTTAGAATGAATAATTACAGTTGGTCTTGATTTATGTTTATGTTGGCAAGAGTTTAGATGTTCTCTTAGTGTTTACTGCTATGAACTATCAAAACAATCACATGGGATAACATTTAGATTTAGGAGTTAGTAGATCTGAGTTGAAAACACAGTACAACATTGATTTCGTGTGTGCAAGCTGTAACAACAGACTTGTCTCAGAATGTCATTTGTCTTTGTGGATTACACTGAGAGACAGTCCACCATTGTCTAAAATCTCCTCTATCCCTCACCTGTGCATTGAAAGTGTCTCTTCAGAAATTATTACCAGCACCCCCGCCCCTTACCCACATAAACATACATTAGCTAGTCAGCTATTGTTTCACTCTTGGTTGTCAGCATTGCACCATGATGGGGAAGGCTTACCAGAAGACTAGTCTATCGTCAGCGTAGAGACTGTGTGAACCATCCATCAGCACTCGTCCACTCACGCTTCATTCTCAAACCAAGGCCTCCAATGCATCACACATTTGAGGAGGCATGCAGGTCAGGATGAGGGTAAAGTCAAACAGGCCGTACTCCTCACTCAGGAGTTCCTCATTAGGGGTGAAAAATGACCTCTCAACACAATATACTCCCTCCAACAGGGCAGTAAAAATAGCCATGCTTGTGCTACTTTTCTTCCAGAAAACTCCCATTGGCAGCAACACATTTACAGCCTCATGACACTTAACTGCTTCCACATTGTTTGTATATTCACTCCCACAGACACTGAGCCATTCATTTTTTTTACAAATGGAACAAGAGGGAAGAAAATAAGTATAAAGAGTGTTTTCCTTTCGTGAATGTGCATTTCTACCGTATTTGGCCACCAGTGTATGAGAACATACTGGGGTTACTCCCCCTTGTTTCTCTAGAGCGTTCATTGTGAATTGTTGAGGGTGAGTCGGACACATCTGGACTCACTTTGCTCCCTCTAAAAAGGCAAATTCTGGTCTCGGCCCGGAGCCGTGGTGGTTAAGGCTGACGGTAGCACATGTGCTGCACAGACTCTTAGGTCTTGCCAAGCCTAAAATAAAAAGCTTGCATTGATGCAGGGAGATTACATAATGATTCACACTCATTTTACTTTTGTCACTGTGTCTTGAATGACCTATGTAATACGAGCAAACGATGTGTCGGATAGTCAGAGCAGACCTAACATTAATTTGTCCATAGACAACCCTGCTGCACGCTGTCTTTTGGGGAGTCAAATGTTCTTTGCAGTTCTTTTTTTAATTACGGATCATAGATTGTATTAAGAGTTGCACAATTGTTCATACAACGCACACGTTTGGCAGGGAAAGTGTTAACTGTGAGACTGAGTTTCAAGAATGCTACTCTGAGGTTAAACTGGTGTTAAACTGGTTTTATGGTTTAATGGTCGGCTTGACAGGGTCAGACAATGGCTGGGTGAAGCCATGTAGAGCCGTGAAGGGCCAATGAGTGGTTTCCCCCGCTCAGTCTTATTTTTTTGTGCGGAACTGAGTGAGAAGTCGGACGAGCTGCAGAATAGAAACCTATTTTTTAGCAGAATCCTACAAACTACACTTGAGCAGATGAAAAAGTAGGATTGTTGCAAATTGATCTCAGATAACAAATGCATGGCTATTCAACTTTAAGGATTCAGGGTGATGTAAAGATTATGTAAACCCTGAGGTATGTTAAGCACTTTGTTTCCCCAGACAGCGCAGAAGGACCAGGATGAGGCTCTGTCAACCATGTACGCTAATGATTTTCACCTTGAAAGGTTGAGTAGCTTCTTTTGTCTGTGAGAGGGCAATTTGTAGTTTTAACACCCATCTATCATGTGCAGCAGCCTCTTCAGTACAAAGTGATTGAGGGCTGGTGATAGATATTTTGAAGAGATTGACGACTAGATGCAGCAAGATACAGAGCAAAAAGCTCATGTGCAGAATATTGTATTTTATTTACTTGTGTTAAAGTGTGTGACATAAGACGACATTGTCAGACATTCATCCCTTGTCCCTCTATCTCTGTCAACGACGATGCAAACATGCCACTTTCTGTAAAGTAGATAACCTTTGGGTGTGTAGACAGTGAACCCTGGTGGTCACAGTGTTAGTTACCTTCACTCTGCAGGCAGGGAGGAGCAAGTCAAAGGTTGGATAACTTGTTTTGAAACTCTTGCCAACACAAATAGGCCACTGTTGAAACTTGCAACGGAAATCTGCCTTCATTCCATTTGAGGGCCATGGCCTCCTTTTCCCCCACATGACCAAACACACCCACATCAGAAGAGAGTTTGATCAAGAATGTTATCGTAACAACTAAAAAAGTATGTTTTAACTATTCCATGTTTTATCTGTCTGCTTCACACTGTCATGCTCATCATCAAATAATCACATTTTCTATTTCATCCCATTTATTAATTTCATTTTTATTAATTTCTTTTTATTATCATTTTCTTCTGTTCTTTTAATGTCTCCATTCCTCATCCATTGTCTATCGTCTGCCATCACCCAGCATCGGAGGGGAGCAGAGGTAGGTGCTTGCATGTACAAGCAGCAGTTGCATTAAACACTTTGTCTGGTGTCTATATGACTTTCATGGAAGCTGTCCCCTCCCTCACTCACTTCTTTTTTCCAGCTTCATGCTCCTGTCTACCTTCTCACTCGTTTCACTGTCTGGTTACACTACACCTTTAGTTGTAAAAACCTGTAATATTGTCTGTGAATTAATGCAACCACAAGAATCACAATCCACCTTGAAAATAAATACGTCTGTGCTATCAGCAGATTTTTCCGTTCTCCTGGGCGCCTTTGTTCCTTCACTCTGGGTTTTATTCACAGTCCCATCCATCACTTTTCAGCAATGATAACAGCTGCTATTTGGCATCTGCAGCAGAGTTGGGCTTGGCTTGCTCTCGGCTATGCATTCTAGACCTGTGTAGAATTTTACTAGAGGGGAGAACACATCTAAGCAGTGAGAAAACGTATATAACACAGCGAGGTAACAGATTTAGAAACCAGCATAAAGTACCTCTTGAAACGGACAGTTGTAATTTAGGATCCTGAAATAAAAACCTGTAATTTTGCCTCAAATTTTGACGCCTCATTAGGTCTGAGGTGTCAGTACATTATAGTCAAAAAAAATCTGCACTGCATGCTGTTTCTATGAATTTTAGGACAATACATCTGTGATGTGTCACTTTGTGCATGGCCATTAACTTTTGTAATAGAGTCAGAACCAGTGAGACTTAATGTTCTGCTTCAGTCATTAACTGTAACAGCAGTTTGTGCCAGATCATTTAGATAACAGTTAAAAAAGAGCCATTCTCCTCAAGATAAGATAAGATACTCATTTAGTAGTAGTCATAAGTAAATAATTTTAAATGAATTATAGTTATTAAATAGAAATGTGCTCTGTTGCAACAACAAAGAGGACAGTCAAAAAATAGACAAAAGTCAAAGTAATAAATAGGTGAACATACAAAATGAAAGCCAGGAAATATAAAATAGAAATAGAATAGAAATAACATATACAGTGCAAACATAAATACAGTTTACCAGGGTTGCTGGGAATCACTAGAAATAAGTATTGTACAGTGAAATGAGTTGGGAGTTAGGGTGTTTGGCTATAAATCACAGTGCTTGTGTTTCAACCACTCACTAAAATAATCTGATCTTGAACCTTTCTGACACCTCCTCTGTTTTCATTTTGTCCCGGCAGTCACAGCGTCATGTGACAGACCTGTATGAAGACCTTCGAGATGGACATAACCTGATCTCTCTGCTGGAGGTCCTGTCTGGAGAAACACTGGTGAGTATCGCCACGGTGTTGGATTTTGCTTTCGACCACCAGCGTCAGAGTGACTAATATGCATTGTTTTAACTCCACCTCTAATCCTGACCTGTTGCGAAAGGCTTACTTATCTGCAGATAATCCTGGAATGCGATCTCAGTGGTAATAAATTGTAACTAATCACAGCCGTTTTGATAGTCAGAGGCTTAACATGAGCTGAACTTTGCCGAACAAAGGCTTATTAAGTAACCCTACTGGATCACTGGTCTGTGATCTTCTTCACTTTGTCTCTAGGGCAAAATCTCACCAGCATATTTTCCTCCTTTTTGCCTTGAACTAAAATGTCAAGGCTCATATGTAAACCCTTGGTCCAGACCTGAAGAGAAGCTTCTTTGCTGCCTCACTTCATCACATTCTCCAGGGGCAAGTGCCCTAGTCCTGTCAGTAGTAAACAAATAATCCAGTCACTTTTTTTACAATACTAACAATACATATGACAATTTGTTACGATTTCCTAAGCTTTTATTAAGTACACAATGTGCTTGAACAAGGAGCAATTTTCAAAAAGCATTCATTGATGTGTTGCTTTGCTCAAGGAATGACTTAAATGTGCACCTTACTGAAGCAGGAATTGTGCATGAATATTAGTCCTATGATTGGCCCCCTCTAAATTGTGGCCCCTTTATGGCCCCAGATTTAGACAAATCCTAGATCCTTCACTGGCTCTCGCTCTGCTCATCCTCTGAATGCCTCCATAGCCTTAACACATTAACCTCACTTTGGCCTGTGTGTTTCTGTGTGTGTGTGTGTGCGCGCACTGTACTTCTTTCTGATCTACACTTCTTCTTCTCTACTCCTCTTCCTCGCTTCCCTTTAACCTCCGTGTTTGTGTGCTGATTGCTGCCGCATGGCCTTCGCCTCCTCTCTTTGCCCTGCTCTTTGTCTGGGTTAGTCGAGGGAGAGAGACTTGGTCAGGAGTGTTCGGTTGGTGAGTGGGTTTGAAATTTTAAGTAGCCATCTATTATTTTTTATGGTTCACCCGCGCTTTCATGACAATTTTGCTCTGCATGATAACCTCCATGGCAATCAGGTTTGATTGGGCAGGTTTTTTTGTTTTTCTTGCAGACAGGCATGCTTTACCCACATAGCTGCTGTATGTGTTTATTGATGACCATGGCAGTTTTAGTATAAGCAGTACGAGTTTTGCATGCTTTTGCTTTTGAGACATCTTTTTTGCATTTGGCTAGGGTCTTGACTTCACAGCCATAATAATATAATGTATATTCTATTGATTTACATGAATTTGAATTTCAGCATTATGCAAAATGAGCTAATTTGACTGTCCTCAGGTGTCTTCCGTTACGCAAAACCGTGCCAAGGGTTTGTTAGTGGGCTTTTTTTTATTTTATTTTTTATTTTATTTTTGTTGAGAATGTTGGGAATCTGAAGGAGAATATCCTAAAAAAAACATATAGAGGCTTGAAAAATGACTTTCTCTATCCATAACATTATAGGAAATATGTACCAAACATTGAATATGCAAATTATTCATCTGGCTATTTACATTTAATGCTCAGTAAAAACATAAACATTGTTTTGACAAGATTATATCCCATAAAACCCTACTTGGTTAGTACACTGACAATCTGAGACTCATTTGCACCCAGTAATTTACACCTGATTTGGTCAAGAGCTATCACTAGACAAGATAATAGTAGAAAAAAATCATTAATAAATAATACACTATACAAAATACATACAATAAGAAAGGCCATTATACTTATATGACAGAAGAAATTATTGATTGGCCCCACCTCACATAGGCAATCATATGAAAAGTATTGTTTGGTTGGAAGCTCTATAATTGTTGTGTTTAATAGGAGATAATTCCATATCTTGGACCTTCATAAGAGTGAACTGAACTGAGAAGTACAGAAATATTATGCTTATGATATTTATAATATTTTCTCGAACAACAAGGACTAAGCAGAATATTTGAATACATAATTGTCCACTAGTATTTATTCTTGGGGGGAATGGCAAGTTATTCACACATTTTCTTTGTGTTTTACTTCTAATTCATTTCTCCATTTTGATTGGATGCTTCCAAACTCCCATCATGAGTATGCTAAAATATTAATCTATTGTAGTCTCATGTTCAAAGTTCATCTAAACACCTCTTTATCTCTTCTCCACCCTCCACAGCCCAGAGAGAAAGGCCGCATGCGATTCCACAAACTGCAGAATGTACAGATAGCACTGGACTTCCTCAGACATCGACAGGTACGACTTATGAAATGATACCTTGAACCCTGAAAACCTTTTAAACCAATGTGTGCATTCAGGTGATGTGAAATCATGACAATACAACTGTTTTGTTTTTCCCAGGTCAAGCTGGTTAACATCAGAAACGATGACATAGCAGATGGGAACCCCAAACTGACGCTGGGGTTAATATGGACCATCATCCTCCACTTCCAGGTCTCCAATGCTGTCAGTGTTGTGTTCCATTATATTATCGCTTTTCCCTTTGTCTGTGGGAACTGCACCTGTCGGCTGCCATTTCTCATCTCCTGGGAACAATCACAATGGACTCCTCTCTTCAAAATCCCTCTCATGAAAGACATTTTCTAATCAGAAGTGTTTCATTCCCACTTATATTCTATGGGCTGTTGGAAGATATAACAAACTAACACTGAAATCTAGTATTTAGTGTCTGGTATAAACAGTATAAAGAAATCCAACACAATCAGGGGTGTGTAAGTATGAGTCACTCTGAGTTTTCTTTCCTTTCTTCATTCAGGTGTGTGTTCTTTCATTTTGAGAGCAGCTGAGCACAAAGAGCAGGACTCAAACTGAAGTGAAGGACATTTGTGCATCAATAGTGTATCTGAGTGCTGTTAGAGCTGGAGCGGAGCAGATTTGCACGCAAGCAGGGATCTGTTTGTGCGAGGAGAGTAGGGCAGGACAGGGAAAGCATTACAAAATCTGAAAGTGAAATGAAGAACTAATACTCTCAAAATGAAAGCGCACCCTCTTGAATAAGGAAAGAAACTGACTCCCAAGGGTAGGGAGTGTCAGTGTGTTGACATGTGACACTCCCTACCACATCCCATACACACCAAGAGCTGCCAGGCAGAAATCCCTGGGCATCAACAAGGGCGCACCCACTAATGTCAGATGATACAGGTTGAGTTTGTGGAAAGGTGGCATAAAGGAAAGAATGGTGTGGTTTGGTGAAAGTACCATTGTTCCCTGTAGATAAAGAGAGGGTAAGGTGGGTGGTGGTGAGTGGTGGTTGCTGGTGAGTCACAGAGATGAAAGGGGAGTGAGTTCCCTCTTGTCATGTCATGCAGTGTTAAATCCTACAATATGATTACCCAAAATTTACTGAAATACATTCGCGACGCAGCAACAGTGTGTCTGAGTGCAAACAGTTTTGAACGATTTGCAGGGATCTGTGAAAGACAGTGGAGATTCGAGGAAAAGCTTCACAAAATCTGAGCATGGTATTAGTAAATAATACTCTCAAAATGAGAGATTGAATATAAGTACTTATCTTGAATAGAGATAGGAAATAAACTCCATATGAGTCCATTTCTTCAGCTTTTCCTGCTCATGCAGAGAGAAAACAAACGAGGACTAGCACTCGCACACATGCACTTACACACACATACAAAATGGAAAACCTGATGGCTATGACTCATCTTTGCTGTTCCCAATTTCCCCGGTAATCTGGATGCCACAACCACAGTGGCATTCTCCAAGAAAGAAATCCTGCTGCAGACAACGAGCCAAGTCAGAAGCAGCTTGAAGCTCGAATACGCAGCTCAAGAAAATGTGAAAGAATGATTAGTGTCTAAATGAACCCTTGGTGTCAAGCAATTCACCTTAAATCACATATTTTGGTTTCCTCTAACGACTAATTTTTTCCACATTTCTTCAGCTTACATCTACAAATCCTCTGTCCATCTTTGTGTTGACACTCTTCCTGTTTACATCGTCTCAGATTGCAGACATCCAGGTGAATGGCCAATCCGAGGACATGACCGCCAAGGAGAAGCTGCTGCTCTGGTCTCAGAGGATGACTGGCGGCTACCAGGGCATCCGCTGCGACAACTTCACCACCAGCTGGAGGGACGGAAAGCTCTTCAACGCCGTCATACACAAACACTAGTGAGTGTGGCCAGTTTGTTGCTAGTAAATACCCCCCCAGTAGGGCTGACACTTGTTTACCAAACTCAAGATCAAATGAATTTGATTCGGTGGGGATTTTTAAATCTATTTGTTTGGTATCATGATCGTCCACTTGGGTTGAATTTGAACTTCCATTTTCATACTGAAATGGTGAAACCTTAATTTGTAGGTGAAGAGGACATGTAGGTCAAGCTGAAAGTGAATGCCCACTGCTGCATCATTGAATATGAACTCCCCTCCATGTTTAAATGGATGTTGGGATTTTGTATAAAAAGCGACAGCACTACAGCTCAGTGCTTAACAACATTAGTCAAAGCTTATATCGTATGCTCTATTCAAGCTGCTTTACCCTGCCTACTGTTCCTGCGTCCACTGCAAACCACTTCACAAGGCACCGCCACACCAGCCCCTCCATTTAATACTGAATCTGACCTAAAAGATGAGTTGTCACTGATGACTGCTCTGTTCTGTGCCGGGGTCTTTTAGCTGCTGCTCTCCCTGCCTCACTTTGCATGAAGGCCCATGGAAGGTTAGGGTGGTGTGCTCTTCCTATCTAAGATGGGCAGGGAGTTCTCAGAACAGAGCCATACCACTGAATATAACTTATTCCAATCATGGAGATGAATTTAATTTTGACGAGTGGTCTTGACTGAAATGCCTGCAGCTCACTGCACTAACATGTGCCAACCCATCCTGTAATGGAGTGCAGCAAGTCAACGTGTGCCCTATTCCTCAAAACACATGCACACACACATTATGATATATATCCCTTATTATGCAGGGATTCATCTCTACTTTTTAGATAACACTAGTAACATTGATGCCTGTCATGACACATCACCATCTGTACGTTCCATTGAACAAAGAGTGCAGTGGAGCAGGAGCTGAACCTCGGCACATTTCATGATGCCAGTTTGAACTCGCTTTGTAATTAAATTCTACTCAGTAAGATGTATTCACTCTGTGAGTAATTTTACACATAATATCTATGAACTGACATTTGTATTGGTATATCTTATTTATATTGATGGAAAGATAATTAGCACTATGATATATAGTAGTAAAGCTTTATTTATCCACTCTCAGGCTTTAAAACATCTTGTTTTGACCCATTTTCAAGTTACCACACTTGACACTACTTCTCTCATTTTGCTGTAATGAAAACATGAACATCTGAGGCCTTTAGGCGAGAAATAACACTGGGACGCACCGACTATGACTAATAACTAACATCTTCTGGTGCCATGCCAAGATGATAAGCCCTCTATTAAATATGATTAGCTAATTAAATAGTTTCGAAGCCTAGTTTTAAAAAGTAAAAACTTGATGTTGAACATTATACGTATCCTTAAAGCTGCTGTGTTCAATCAGTTCTTAAGGATTTCTTTGTGTGTGATAGCTTCATGGGAAATGAGTGTGCATCTATTTCTCAGGAAGATTTGTCAATACAATTCTTCATGGCTGCTTTTCTTTATAAGTCTGGAGAGCAAACTGGAGGAAAGTGGTATTAGATGAGAGAAAATACAATGCTCAGTGTGATGTATTTCTTTAAAGCTATTGTGGGTTGAAAGAAAGAAATACCTGCAGGGGCAAGTTTCCTGAAACCTCAGCGTGTACCTGCAACTTTCTTTCTTTTACATTTTTTTGAGTCACCTGAGGCTGAATTAACCTTTCATAAATACCAGGGGTGTGGTGTTTGGGCGGTACTGTAGCACTCAGTGTCTGCTACATTAAAAGTGTGGCATTGCGTTATTCTTTGGCCATCAGGGTATCCTCATGCAGAATATGCATTAAACTGAGAGTTCCAAGGTTTTATGTTGGTGTGGGAAGCTTTAGAAATTATGCTTTAGGAATTTAGTCTCTTGACTGCACCACTAGGAGGCTTCTCCATTTCTGCAGCCCTGCAGAAGGATTTACAGGATCTTCACGAGGATGGACACCTGAGACAAGGCATATGGATTTACATGCTGCCATCAATCCATCACAAGAACTGTTTCAGTTTACGCCTGCAGCTGAAGAATAAGCTTTTAAACGTCCCACTAGACGAGGACCAGATTTTAAGATGCTCAGTGTAAGGAAGAAGTCTAAAAAGAGAAAGGGAAGCGTGGGCTTCTCTGGTGGTGTGTCAGGATCTGTCAGGGATGTGGAGAACCGGGTGATCATGCTTTGTGAGGATATCCCATCAGAGGGATCCTCCAGGGACTCAGGGTGGGGGTCACACAGCTCAAGGGCTCACTCGAGCAGCGATGAACTGGGCCACGGATGGAGGTCTCGCAGCTTTCATGGAGGAGAGGCCCAGAGCACGAGCAGCTCCCCTCGGCCAGCGATGCTGTTCTCTGTTCGGGAAATCAGCCCTGTGGAGACTTCTCCTGGTTATGGACAAAATGCAGGCCAGCCCGCTATATGCATCAGACAGTTGTATGAATCTGCTCTTACTGTTTCTCTGCCTGCTAAATATAAATTGAAATTGGTGATGCATAAAAAACAGGAATATGTTTCAATTGCATCAATATAAACATATGTCTGTGCTGCATTCCTTCGTCCTGCGCTGCACTATGCAGACGTGAACTTTTGCCTCCACTGGGAGTCAAGCTGCTGATTAAGTGTGTCAGCTGTGCATTTAAACTGCTCTAATTTGCAATCCACCTATAGATGACTCTGGCATCTGCCCGAGTCAAATACCCAGAGGACAAGATAAGGCAGGTTCTAGTACAGGTTTGTCAGAAAGTGAACCGAGAGGCTCTTTTAACTCTTCCACAGAAAGCCAGCTGCTGCAAATAAATAACAATTTGAGTGAGCTGGCCTGAACAGAAGGGGTCAATGTGGGTTATACCTAATCCCCTGTCCCATACCACTTAATTTCCCAAGTTTGAATTTTAATTTCTGAGATGTGTGATGTTACTTTGACTTGTTGTCAGCTGAAAATGCATGGTATCAGCATGAGCACGAGGAGAAGAGCTGAAGTAACAATATAAGAATCAAAACACAAGCAGGGGCTATTTGAGTGTGAATGAAAGCATTACAAGAGCTGAATCAATAGGTCCCACTTTCAAACTGAAAGACCATGCTCTTAAATAAAGAAAGGAAAAAAACATATGCATATAATAGAACGGATGCAGAGAAAGTAGGCATTGGTGTGGCTTCACTACACCCATGTATATATTATCATTTCATAGGCAATTTGAGTTGTGAGAAGAAAAATATACAGTTCATTTTGATGGAGACTCAGAACGTACACTGCTGATTATAGTCAAGGTTAAACTCCCCCCTCTGACCACCACCACATTTTTGTGTTCCTGTAGTCCCAGACTCATCGACATGGGCAGAGTGTATCGACAGAACAACGTGGAGAACCTGGAACAGGCCTTCAATGTGGCTGAGAGAGACCTGGGAGTGACACGCCTCCTGGACCCTGAGGGTAAGACTGGCCAAACATCATTTTCAACACACACACACCACACTGAAAAACACAAAAATGAATTATATTGGAATTATTTTGAAATATATTGTGATTTCACTTATTTCTACCGCCTGTGATTCATTTTCAATATGAAATAATGAGATGTCATAATATTTTTCATCTTATTTGGTCAGATGTGGATGTCCCTCACCCTGATGAGAAATCCATCATCACCTACGTATCATCCTTGTATGATGCCATGCCTCGACCTGATGTACATGATGGCGCCAGAGGGAATGTGAGCAGAACATGTTTTGTGTTGTGGCTTGTGACTCTGCTTATATATAAATACGTGTGTTTTCTAAACCTCCCAAAGTTTCAAAGAGAAAAGAGAGGAGGTCTTGTGAGAAGTCTTGTGAAACCAAGTATCTTGAAATCAGCAGCCTGTGGTGTTTACGCTGCAGACGCCAAAGGGACAGGCCCATTTTATCTGTTCACATAAAGCGTAATCAATGGCATGTTTGGGCATTTAAGCTCTACTTGTATTTCAAAGCTGGTCCTATTGAAATACACCATTTACACTTGGGATTTAATGGTGTTTTTGGTGATCAGATTGTAAATGGAAAGAGTACAAGTGTAAATTGAAGTGTAAATGCAATGACCCCATACAAAGACTACAGTAGCTAGTTGCTGTTAGCCAGTCAACACTGTGACATGTGAAGACGAGACCGATAGAAAAGCCAGCAAACACAATAATACACTGTCGTGGATGGATACCATCTTTTGTTGTTTGTTGTGTTGGGTTACAATCTTAACTAAATACAACCTGGTTATGAAACACATTTAATGCCAGGTGTAAATGAGGCCTTAAGTTCAAGTAAAATACTATATGTGATAATTGACCTGACAAATATGGGTATGACCGCACACTGAACTGGAGAAACATGCTCCTGTCTGTCTGTCTCCCACCATTGTCTTCTCTCTCCCCCACTTCCTCCATCATCAACGCCTTCCCTGCTCGCTGTCCGTCCACACAAGACCCAGATTGTTGCTACTTAATTGAGTTTAGCGTGGTGTGTGAGGGGTCGAACATGGAGACGCAGAAGAAGAAGAGTGCTTCTGTCTGTGCTGTTTTAACCATCAGCTGTCTTTTCTGCTGTGTTGGCTGCAGGAGCTGGAGCTGCGCTGGCAGGAGTACTACGAGCTGGTGACTATTCTGCTGCAGTGGATCCGCCACCATGTCATGATTTTCGAGGAAAGGAAGTTCCCCACCAGCTATGAGGAGATCGAGGTGAGCCAATATGCTGAAGACATGTGACTATTATGGCTCTATAGGCAAGAGAATGTTTTTTGTTATGAGTATTGATGTTGTTTCAGTTAATCAGCCCTGAAAATGAAAAACGTTTGTTATAAAAATGGAAAAAAAAAGTACCGTGAGACTTTTTGGTCGTCATCCATTGTTAGAATGAGAATGCATATACTGTAGAGAATGTCTGGCTTTGGGCGGACAGAATAAAGTGTTTTTACAGACAGTGTTGTAATGTGGGTGGGGCAGAGCTGGTGCTGAAAATGCAGCCAAAAGGTGAATAATGTTGGACCTAATCCTCAGGAGAATTACCCCAGTGCCACTCCCTGTCAGTGCTACAGAACAAAAGCATAGCGTGACTTTAGTATTTTTCTTTGTTGTCTCTGAAGCCAATCACCATCAGCGTCAGTGCTTCTTTAAAAAAGCCTTTTAAAGCAAAGTCTGGTTAGATAATGAGTCTTTTCTCTGGTGACCTGTGCAGGGACGTTATTGGACTCATTACAAGTGTTCGATTTAATTTACACCAGTCATGGGAAAGCATGAATGATGTTTACAGAGGATTTAACCTCAATGTATACAGGCCATCAGAACTGTAGTGTGATGCTTTGAGATTCATCCTGTGTGAAATTCGGATTCCACAGTGATGTAACAGTTCATACAGAACACAGCCTTGAAAAAGTAACATAAAGATGTGTCCTGCATACAAATAAAGACAATGATTCTCTGTGTGTACTTAAGTGACGAATGTTCGTATCTTACGTATTAATAACGTATTAAGTATCAAATGAAGAAAAAGGAAAATATATATTTTAAATTAATAATGTGAATTTTGTGCCATGTGTCCTTTAGCTTCTGTGGCGTCAGTTCTTGAAGTTCAAAGAGACCGAGCTGCCGGTGAAGGAGACCGACAAGAACCACTCCAAACACATCTACCAGTCCTTAGAGGCAAGTTGAATCAAACTCCAGAGTCTTTCGTATTATATTGTATTCTGTTGTCTAATCATATCAACACGTGCATAATAAAATTGTGTGTTAAACTTCCACCTGCTTGCAGGGCGCTGTGCAAAGCGGTCAGGTGAAGGTCCCCCCCGGCTACCATCCTATTGATGTGGAGAAAGAATGGGGTCGACTCCATGTTGCCATCCTTGAGAGAGAGCGACTGCTGAGAATAGAGTTTGAGAGGTTAGCACCATAAAAGATACTGAATGTCCAAATTTGAATTATTAGGATCCACTTCTTGTTATATACCATCTACTTTGATCGGTAGGTGTACAAAAATAAAAAAATCATGTAAGTCAGTTTGGACAAAAGCGTCAATGAGCACCATGTAGTTGGTCATCAGAAACATTTTCTCTGCGCCGATAATGACGTCATTTCCGCAGGATTATGACATTTTAAATGTTAATTGACACAAATTAGTATTAATACTCTTAGCTGATTAAAACATGTTTAAAGGCCATCTTTGAATATGAAAAAAATCTATGATTTAAAATGATAAACGATTTAAAAAGATCTATGAAGAGCTACTCTGCTTGTATTTACATTCATACGACAGGTCAGGCTATTCATGCTGCTCTCTCCTCCCTTCTCCACCATGAGCGCAATGCATGATGGTATATATTGCTTTAAAACGCAATGGGAGTTTAAGATGAACAATTGGTCGTAGTATCATAAGTTGAGCTATGGCATTTGTGACAGACCCTTGTAGATCATAGTATTTGCTGAAACGCAGATGTCCGAAAGTGTTTTGACTTATATCTGATATCTCCTTGTGAGCTTCAGCTTCTGCTAGTCTAACATGTGATGTAACAGGTTTTTAGTTCTGCTGAGGAGCGATTTGTACAAAATGATGTATTTTAAATCAAAATGCTGAAAAACAAACATTATATAATCTATTCTGTTTTGCTGGAACCTTAAAATTGTCTTTGCAAGATTATTACAATGGTGTTTGTATTTTGGTTGAATCCAGACTCGAGAGCCTCCAGAGGATTTCCAGTAAAGTCCAGATGGACTCTGGGTTGTGTGACGAGCAACTCAGCCACCTGGAGACCCTGCTGCAGACGGTGAGTCCTCGTCAGGTCTACCATTAGAAATACTACACTTTGACATGACTTCACAAAGCTACAAAGATTTGGAACAGGCATTAATGGGCCACTGTTTCAGTCACTGTTACAACTTTTTGATTTGAGTGGGATTCCAAAAGAAGATGAACCTTGATATTTTACTGGCTTCCATCCCTTCAGGACATGCGTCTGCTGAATGCGGGGAAACCAGCCAAGCACACGGCAGAGGTGCAGAGGGAGCTGGACAACGCAGACAAAATGATCCGCCTGATCTTCAATGATGTACAGCTACTCAAGGATGGGCGCCACCCTCAGGCTGAACAGATGTACCGCAAGTGGGTGCTACCTGTATTACATTCAAGTGAACTTTTAGTACAATGGCTTTTACACATAGAAAACCTGTCAAGCACATCAAATGAAAGATGTGTCTTTTGATGTCCACAGGGTCTACCGCATCCACGAGCGCCTGGTGAACTTGCGCAGCGATTACAACCTTCGCCTGAAGACCTCTGTGACCACTGTTCATGGCAACATGACGAGCTCCCAGCAGTCCACCATGAAGGCGCGGCCTGAGTTGGATGATGTGACTCTGCGCTACGTTCAAGACCTGTTGGCCTGGGTGGAGGAGAACCAGCGGCGCATCGATGATGCAGATTGGGGAGCTGATCTTCCCTCAGTGGAGTCGCAGCTCGGCAGCCACAGAGGCCTGCACCAGACTGTGGAGGACTTCCGATCCAAGATTGAACGGGCCAGGGCTGACGAGGTATGAGAGCCATTGCAAAGGATCACATATTGTCCAGAGTGCTTTCGATTTTGAAATTAAACATTGTTGCGTCGTTCATGTTCTTCAGAGCCAGCTGTCTCCTGTCAGCAAGGGCGCATACAGGGAATACCTGGGTAAACTGGACCTGCAGTATGGCAAACTACTGGTGAATATTTTCATATTTCAGACATTTTTCTGGGCTGATATTTAGATCACAAGTACATGATTTAACTTGTAGTTGTACGATAGCTATTTAAGTTAATTTTATATATCTGATATTTTGTTTCTTTCTTTCAGAACTCTTCCAAGTCCCGCCTGAGGAACTTGGATTTACTCCACTCCTTTGTCACCTCCTCCACCAAGGAGCTGATGTGGTTAAATGATAAAGAGGAGGAGGAGGTCAACTTCGACTGGAGTGACAGAAACACCAACATGACTGCTAAGAAAGACAACTACTCTGTGAGTTGTCAAGAATTTTTTCTCGAATATTAAATAATTTGTAGAATACTCATCTGTCATCCCAAGAACGTAATTTACTTTTCCATTTCAATTCTTCAGGGGCTCATGCGAGAGCTGGAACTGAGGGAGAAGAAAGTCAATGATATCCAGACTTTGGGAGACAAACTTGTCAGGGATGGACATCCTGGCAAGAAGACAGTTGAGGTAATTACTCATCACCCCATTAAACAGTAAAAGTGTACAGCATAAAACCATCTCATTGAGTCCCCAACTAATCCACTGTCTTCTTTGTCCATGCCAGGCCTTCACAGCTGCCCTGCAGACTCAGTGGAGCTGGATCCTTCAGCTGTGCTGCTGTATTGAGGCTCATCTCAAAGAAAACACAGCCTACTACCAGGTATGGAACAAGGACATTCATCAAAATTCCATTGGATCCTCAGTAAACATGCATCAAAATATATATACATAACTGAGATTCAAATTCTATTTCTCTTGTGTGATGTTTTTCTTTTCTACAGTTCTTTGCAGACGTAAAGGAGGCTCAGGACAAGATGAAGAAAATGCAAGAGAGCATGAAAAAGAAATACAGCTGCGACCGCTCTACAACCACCACACGCCTGGAGGATCTGCTGCAGGACGCTGTGGTAAGTGATGAATGAATAAAAAAATAAAGATAGTGCAGAATTATCCTACTGCTCATGTTTACCCAGTTTTACTTCATTCCTTCTCAACAGGAAGAGAAGGAGGAGCTGAATGAATACAAGACCATGGTGACCAGCCTGAACAAGAGAGCCAAGTCCATCATCCAGCTCAAACCACGCAACCCCACAACCCCCATCAAAGGCAAATTGCCCATTCAGGCTGTCTGTGACTTCAAGCAACAAGAGGTGAGAGCATCTACTAACCAGTCCGTACTTACTTCTAATCATTCACAGCCCACAGAGGCTGTGTATGTTGTGTTTGTCTCAACTCTTGGGTTCTGTTTCAGATCACTGTCCATAAAGGAGATGAGTGTGCTCTCCTCAACAACTCCCAGCCCTTCAAGTGGAAGGTCCTGAACCGCTCAGGACACGAGGCGGTGGTGCCCTCAGTCTGCTTCATGGTACCCCCAGTCAACAAGGAGGCCGTGGACAGTGTGTCCAGGTGAGAACATAGTCAGAGTAGAATGGCACGCAGTAGTACATACTGTACCTCCACCAAGGCCCAACAGTCCCCTTAAATTGAGTTAAATGAAGATTTATTCCCTGTGAAAATGGTTCAAAATGTTGAAGAAAGTGTAAATAAAATCCTTGATCTGTACCAAACTTTAATGGGTTGATCCTGATTCAGACCACCACGTTTTGTAGAAAATGTGTTCAGTTGTTTTTGGGTAATCTTGCTTACAATCAAACAAGCAAACAAACCAACCAACCAACGAACAAAAGGACAGAGGTGAAAACATAACCCAGCTACTCGCCTACTCTAGTTTACTGTTGCAGCTGTTAGATACTGTCATTCGTTCAATCTTCCAGAATATCACCTCTGTAGGTTTACTATAGTGACATTGAACTGTTAAGTTGATTTATACACACACTGTATTTTGTCTCCCAGGACTCTGAAGGAGCAGGGTTTGTTTGATGTGTGGTCTTATGATCGTACAACAACTGCTGCCTCAGAGGATTTAATTAGTCGTCTTGTGACCTGACTTTCTAGAGACACCAAATGCAAATTGCTAACAAGTTAATCCAATAACTGACACCTCATGCTTAGTAAATTATTTTGTGTCAATTGTTTATTAATTCCTCCACTTCTAACATTCCTCTCCTCCTCCAGTCTGGATGGGGGTCACCAGCAGATGGTGTCCATGTGGCAGATTCTCCACGTTGACATGAAGAGCCTGCTGTCCTGGCAGTACCTGATGAGAGACTTCACACAGATTCGATCCTGGAACATCACCACGGTAAGGGATTCACACCATTAATCTAATCCTCACATTGAACTGTAGAGTTTCAGTACAATATAGTTACAACTAAATTACAACCTGAAACTCAGCCTACTTTACTGCGATAAATAGATTGCACCAACCTCGTGTTATTTTTATTTTTTTTGTTAAGTAACTACAGGATCATTTGTTTCCACTGGAAGAGACAACTTTTAAGCATTTATTTGTTCTTAAATTACAAATATATATTCAAGATCATAACAAGAAACCTGGCTCCCTGGAAATAAATCAAAACACAGCATCACCCTCTTTACAATGTGAACTCCTGCCTCTATATCCTATCCTATTTTCTTCCTTCTGTGCAGTTAAAGACCATGAAATCCGAGGAATACAGGCTGTTGATGAGGAACCTGGAGCTGCACTACCAGGACTACATGCGTGACAGCCAGGACTCACAGCTCTTTGGCCCTGACGACCGCATGCAGATCGAGGGAGACTACACCAAGTCCACCCAGCATTTCGACAGCCTGCTTCGCTCCATGGAGAAAGGTAGAACTGTTTTCCCTACACCACATGTCAGCTTTTCATTATTACTGGATATATTAAGGGAATATTCAATAGGTTTTAAGCAACTTCATGATGTCAATTCACCTTTCAGGACAAATGGTTGTTAGGCTCAAAGGTGAGTGATTTAAAGCCAATCAAAGCAGCAGCTCACCAAGCTCGTGTGTGTTCAGGCTTTGAGCTTTAGTTGAGATGTTTGAATATTACATAAGAATCCTGTGTGACTGCATGTGGTTTTGCAGGTTGCTTTTTTGGCAGATCTGCACCGAATTGAATCCATATGTTGTGTGTTAGGCTACAATATGTCATGCAACCACCTAATACATGATAGTGTGATTACTTTGGGAGTAAATACCTGCTATAGACTGTATGTTTTAAAGGGATATGGAGCTGTGTGCATTTGAGACACAACACATGACCAGCTGCATGTAAGATTGAGCTTAAATGCACTGCAGTGGAACATTGCAATATGTTTACAGAACAAGAATGAAAAACGTCCAAATGTGAAATCATAAACATGGCATTGTACCATGTCATGTAAGCAAAACTCATTGTCTGCATTCTTAAACTTACCAGGCATTCAAACTCACCTCTAGTTATCAATAGACTTAAGTGTGTTCGTGTTGTTCTAAACCAATGTGTGTGCTACTGCGCAGGTCAAAAAGACGAGTCTCTGTGTAAGAACTTCATTTCTGAGATCAAGGACCTGCGTCTGCACATCGAGGACTGTGAGGCTCGGACCGTGGCTCGCATACGCAAACCCGTGGAGAAGGAGCCTCTGAAGGAATGCGTTCAGAAGACAACAGAGCAGAAGGTAATGCAGTTTAATATACTGCAATGTGTTGAAACAGCAATATGACATGAAATAATGTGTTTAATTTTGAGACGTACAACTATCATAAAAGACACATAACCAGCAGAGACAGGGGAGCTTCTACTCTGTGTTTTACATTGTGTACCATGTTGGACATGGCAGGAATCTGTTGGGTTGCCTGTCGACTTGTTTTATTATTAAGGCGAGGATGCAGTCCAAAAAATGTGTCTCAATTTAAAAAAAACAGCAGAGAAATACCCCTCAAATACCCTTCAAATAATTATTTATTATTGTATGCATCTGCATTTTATCTGAATTATGATGTTTAGTCATAACAGTTATATGATTATCTCATGAACTAGCCTAGTTTTCATAGTTTCATAGTGTAAGACTGATCCATCTTTGCAGAGGAAAACACCCATAACATGATCCTCAGGAGTTCAGTGATCCTCGAGGCAAAACAAAATCCCTTAAAGAACTAAGGAAGACAAGCTGAAGTAAAGAAATGAAAGTGAAATGAAAGTTGAATGATAGTGTAATTGATGAGCGATGAAAGTGAGTGTGAACTGTGTGTGTGCAAATACAGTGGAGAATCGCAGCTGCTTGGAGATCTTGAATTTGTACACTGTTCAGTGAGAGTAGCAGATTGTAAGCCTGCAGGCCTCCTTCCTACTGTGGCTGCACTCACTCCTGCTGAGACCGTACATTAAAGTTTGAGCAGTGCTGCTTGCCGATCCAGAGAATCACAACACATGTTAATTTAAAGTTTGAAGGTTACCGCCAGCATATTTGAAGTATTTTCTTTTGGAATCTGGTCCTCTGCACAGAAAATGTCATAGTTTATGTTAAAACTCAATCAGGTGGACACTCTCTTCATATTGTTAACTCTTGTTTTCTTCCTCTGTTGTACAGAAAGTGCAGGTGGAGCTTGAGGGCCTCAAGAAGGATCTGGATAAAGTAACTGTGAGGACACAGGAAGTCTTGTCCTCCCCTCAGCAGTCTGCCTCAGCCCCTGTCCTGCGCTCAGAGCTTGACATCACTGTGCAGAAGATGGACCATGCCCACATGCTCTCCTCCATTTATCTTGAAAAGTGAGTCCCTCGCCACTCCCTCTTCAGAGGAATTAGGTCTGTGTCGTATTCCTTTACTTATGAAATCATTGTTACTTGTCCCAGGCTGAAGACTGTGGATATGGTCATCCGCAACACACAGGGCGCTGAGGGAGTTCTCAAGCAGTATGAGGACTACCTGCGTGAGGTTCACACTGTGCCCAGTGATGTCAAGGAAGTAGAGAATTACAGATCAAAGCTGAAGGTACACTGCAAACAACTATTTTACCAGCTCTCAGTTCTCAAAAATGATAAATTCATGACTGTGAATGAAATCCACAAATAAAAAATATCGAATACCCTTTTAAAGAAGTTCAGCCTCATCTTTTCTGAACATGCTTGCTCACCGCCGACCCTCTTTTTATTTTCTTTGAATCTTTCTACAGAAAATGCGGGGTGAGGCCGAGAGCGAACAGCCGGTGTTTGATTCCATGGAGGATGAGCTAAAGAAAGCGTTAGCTGTGAGCGACAAGATGTCCCGTGTACACAGTGAGCGTGACGCCGAGATGGACCACTACCGCCAACTTCTGTCCAGCCTCCAGGACCGCTGGAAGGCTGTGTTCACCCAGATCGACCTACGCCAGAGGGAGCTGGAGCAGCTCGGTCGCCAGCTAGGCTACTATCGTGAGAGCTATGATTGGCTGATCAACTGGATTGCCGACGCCAAGCAAAGGCAGGAGAAGATCCAGGCCGTGTCCATCAATGACAGCAAAACTCTGAAAGAGCAGCTTGCCCAGGAGAAGGTATAATTGTATTATATTATGTGCTAGCACAATAAGATAAGTTCATACTGTATTTCTGAGTCCGACTCTCAACTATTATATTATTATCTATAGCGATTGTTAGCTCAGCCAACCTTGCCAGTCTGATTAATCAATAACAGATATCCAGCACCAAGCAAAGTATTTTAAGTCTTGCTCTGCCCTCTTTTGGTAATGTTGATTTATCATTGCAAAGCAACATTACACATTACATTGTATAAACGCAAAACATACAGAATCGTATTTATTTTTCTCATTAAATACTCAACAAACTGATAAAAATGATACATGTGATTACGCCACATTTTCACTGATCCAGCTGCATTTAACTAACAGCTAATGAGACAGTGACGTCTGAGTTCGACAAATCAGACACACAAGTTTGGCCCATATGGCCTTTTTAGGATTTGGGCAATCTTTTTATGATTTTGGGTTCTTAATTGAGAATGGAAAGAACGAATGATGAACAGATTCTCAATCTCTTATTTGAATAATTTCTCATAACAGAAACTGCTGGAGGAGATTGAGAAGAACAAAGACAGTGTTGATGAGTGTCAAAATTATGCTAAAGCATACATTGATACGATCAAGGTGAGTATTACAGGACAAAAGTCTGCATTAACTGTTGTAAATATTCTAGTTTGGAGCATTTATTAAAAGTGTCTGTGGCATCACTAATGTATGGAGGCTGTTTTTTTATTCATCTAATAGGACTATGAACTCCAGCTGGTCGCCTACAAAGCTCAGGTGGAGCCTCTTGCTTCTCCCTTAAAGAAAAGCAAACTGGATTCTGCTTCTGACAACATTATTCAGGAGGTATGATCCTTCAAAACCATTTTGGTTACAGTTTCTAGAAAATACTCAATATTCAAATAAAGGACAACATCACTAACTCTGCAGGAGCCCTACGGCGTGCAATACACTGATCATTTCAAATGTCTAAGTGCTGTTTGTTTCTCCCTGCATCAGTATGTAACACTGAGGACCAGGTACAGCGAGCTGATGACTCTGACGAGTCAGTACATCAAGTTCATCACCGACTCGCAGCGCCGCTTGGAGGACGAGGAGGTGCGTGACATCTGGCCGAGGATCCCAAACAAACTAAATTCTAACATTAAGCTAACCAACCCACCGAATAATCGACCGACCGTCCAACAAACAAGTTTACCGCCGAACACTGAAACGCATGCATGCACGCACACACTTTTCTCTGTGTGTCTTACACACACACACATACCCACACATTACATTAATGTACGGGTGACAAACGGTTCCTTTGCAATGGTTATGCATGAAACATTGGCATGCTGTAGCTGAACAAATATTTTTGGAGCATATTCTACAATGACAGTAGTGGTCATGTAAAGACTTAAGGTGTGTAGTAAGTCAATATATATATTACATACAAATGTGATTCATGAGGATTGAATGAAGTAAATTATTCAGTCGGAAGCCTCACTGACATCGTGACTCTCAATGTCTGAAACAAGAAAGAATACATTCAACACAGTGTACGTTCAGAAATCCATTATCTACTCCATTTCCATTCATTGTGTGTGTTTTGCCATCATAGATTTAAAACAAGGGGTTCTTTCTTTCGCTTCTGTTGTTTTTCTCTTTTCTTTCTAAATAAAACTAGGACTGTGTTTCAGCCTGGTTATCATGTCTTCAGCTTTCTTCTTTTTCTAAATTAACACACTTTTACGGTTTTACGTTATATTCTAACCCTAATGTTTTGTTCGTTTCTTTGCTTCTCCTAACTGCTTGCCAGTGCTTTGCCATGATGAATGCTTAACTTGTTTCAGCATTAAAGAGGTAAAATATTTATATACAGTATTTCTGTGCTGTTCATCCATTCCCTCTGTCACTAACATCTGTGTCACATTCTTGTCTTTCTATTCCATTTTCTTTCTTTCACTTCAGCATTATGTAGAATTAATGAAATATCTATCGTGACTCCACATCACTAACACCCTTACTTAGGTTGATACCTAATTAGTTTAATTTACAGTGCTCCCTAAACTTACTGCAGCATAAGCTAGATTTGAACTAACAGTGACATCCTCTGAACCTCTTATTCTTGACTTTTTCTTTCCTTTTCATTCCACTTTGTGATTAGAGAGAACCCCCTCGTGCATGGGATGAAATAAAATAAAAAACACTAAGTGAATGGTGTGAATAATGCTCATATCATTAAATACTTAGTC